TGGATGTAGTGTTGTCTTTTAAATACATGTGTACATTTGTGTGTAGTATTAGTGTTTCAGCAAACTGGTGTGTTTGTAATGTTTGTGTTTGCAGGGGTCTGTTTGCATGTTGTGTGATTTCTATAACACATATACATTAACACGCAGATACACACATGCTCACACTGACACATGCTCACACCTTGACACATACTGGCACATACACATACACACACTCAGATACACACCCTTTGACACACAGATACAAGCACTTTGATATACACACACTGGCACATACACACACACACTGACACAGGTATATACACACACACTCAGATACACACATACATAAAGGTATAAATGCAGGGGTGTATATGTGTACAGTGCTAGAGATGGAATGTAGGAGTGTATTTGTGTTGGCATTAAAATGCTGGAATGTATGCATTACCACACACTCGGATGCACACTTACACACACACCGAAACACACACACAGGTGCACATACAGGTTTATGAGGTATACATACACACAGAAACACTGACACACAGACAAACACAGCCAGATACACACAAGGACATAAACACAGCCAGATACACACATATATATGTGTACATTTACATATTTTAATCTCTGCCTTCTAGCAGCTCTTGGACAGCAACTCCCAGCAACCTTGGCCAATATAATGTCTCAACTCTGTTCTTACATACCCTGGTCCAGAATTTGGCAAAAGTGACATTTGGAAATGGTATACAGCCTTTGATAACACTTGATGCAATATGTTAAAATAAATACTTTTTAAATTTATATTTAATAGGGAACTGTCAGGTTCTTCTAGGATTTTTAACATGTACTTATTCCCTGTGTGTTACATTACAAACACCAACACTTAAATAAAAGTGATATCGGAAATTAGCAAAACAAAAAACAAAACATATTTAGCCACCCTCCTGTCTCCTTACCTTTTGGGTACAGAAAGGTGGCTTCCCTGGTGTCCAGTGGGAGCTTGCTGGCCCAGGCTGATGGGAGTCTGCCATCAGCTTTCTCAGTCCCTCTCCCCCACAATGCTTGCATCCTCCTCCGTGTGGTGTGTGCCTCCTCCCCAGCGGCACTGAGGAGGAACTGATCAGTTCTTACTGGGAGGAAGCAGTCTGACCTCACTGCCTCCCAGCATGCCCAGGAAACAAAGAGACTCACAGGGCAGTATGTGAGGGGGCTAGCTGTGAGTATGTAGTCAGCCACCCCCCATATAACTGGGGCCCGGGCCGGTCCAGAGCAGTATTAAAGGGCTGTGGCCCCTGATTACCGCAGGTGCCGCAGGGGGCCCATGGGGCAGCTGCCTTAGGGCCCCCAGGAGTAACTGGGCCCGGGGCAGCTGCCCCTTTTGCCCCTCCTTAAAGATGGCCCTGAGTAGATGTTATATAGTGTGCATCACTCAGAGCTGTCCCTGTTCCACCTGCAAGGCATTTTCTGTGTGAGAGGCTGTTAGTGACCAGATGGGCAGTAATCCCTTTCTCTTCCTGTCCAACCTCACACAGAGACACTGGAGGAACTGGGACAGCAATGTGTTTTAAGCATACCTGGGGACAGAGGCGAAGGACTCTGGTATATATACCCCCTCATCAGCCGACCTAAGTTCCAAAAAGACAAATTATAGGGGCTGAAAACAGAAGTCCCCTAAAGGACAAGTGTCTGTAGCAGGTGCTGACAGGTGGCCACTTTTTTTGAAGAGGAATCCAGAACATTCCATTTGGCAAAACACACAGTTAACAGGTGCACAACAAAAACAAAGATAGCCGGCAGGGATGTGCATGGGCAAATAATTTGGTTCTGTTCGGCAATTACCTAACCCTTACCCCTACCCCTACACCTAACCATACCCTAACCCTACCCCGTCAACATTCACATCATTTTCCCTCCCTCTCTTGTTTTGCCACTTTTCAGAAATCGGAAGAACCTTGGCACTTTGGCAATTCGGCACTTTGGCAATTTGGTTCGGCACTACCGAAATTCGGCACTTTGGCAATTCGGCAATTTGGAAATTCGGAAGCATCCGAATTGCCCGAAATTTGGTTCGAATTCACATTCTGCCCGAAACTAATTGCACATGTCTAATAACCGACACATATTCCACATTTCTACCACATATCTACCATACCCTGGGGACACCTCCCTAGAATGCAGAAAGCTTGTTTTTCACGTTTGGTACAAGTCCAATGTTTGTGCAGGCATACAGTGAGGGAAAAAAGTATATGATCCCCTGCTGATTTTGAACGTTTGTCCACTGACAAAGAAATGATCAGTCTATAATTTTAATAATAGGTGTAATTTAGCAGTGAGAGGCAGAATAACAAAAAAAAAGATCCAGAAAAACATATGTCAAAAAAGTTACATTTTTAATAGCCCCTACCTGCTGGCCATGGGTGGAGGTTGGGGGACACACGCCATGTGGCACGGGGGAACTATGCCAGGTCTCCATTTATGGGATAAGCAACTGGGCAGTAATAGGAATTAGCGACAAACGGTTGCTCGCCGTTTAGTAGACATGCCCTTGCCTACAGCATGGCGTGTGGGAACATCAAATAGGTAAACCTTCCTAAATTGATACCCTTAACTATTAGAAATCCCACAAGTATATTCATTTAGGGAGTTATCTGCTAAACGGCTGCAAAATACATAGGGCGGATTGCAGAATTTTATTTGTCCAAATAAAATTCGGAACCAAAAATAATGGACAAATTTGATCCAAACTGAACATCATGATCGACTATATTCGGAAAATTATATTCATCCTAATTCATTCAAACAAACCGAAAATATCTGCTGTGCCAATGTCTAGTTATTTTTCGTCACCTGGTCAACTTTACGTCATATATCTCTAACCTGTTGTAAAGGACACGTATATTCCTGTAGCTCTGTAAAGTGGCTACAGACAGGGCCGGTTTAACATAGGGGCTGATGGAGCTGCAGCTCCAGGCCCAGGCCCATGGAATAGGCCCATTTTTTCACACATACTACTCTTTGGATTGCCAGGTATTTCTCATGTATTTCTTATGGTTGCCAGGTATTTCTCAGATATTAAAGGCTGCCTAGCTGGTGCCGATATTGCAGTAATACCGGCAATACAAATGTCTGTCTCAGTATAAACAGAGATCATTCTGCAATACCAGCGCTGGCCAGTGTGGAGAGAGGCAGGGATAAGAAGTTACAGCATCTCCCTCCTTGCCTCTTTCTACTCACTGATCCGCAGGGGAGCAGCTCTGCACAGAGAGTGCAGACATCAGCTCCGAGCCTGCGAGACATGGGGACGGTGAGAGACTTTGGGACGCTGAGACATTGGGAGACATATGGACACTGGAGAACATGGGGACCCTGAGACACTAGGGACACAGTGGCCCCATGTTTCTCAGTGGCACTGATGTCTCTCAGTGTCCGTAGTGTCTCAGTGTCCTTACTGTCTCAGTGTCCCCAATTGTCTCAATATCCCCTAGCATAAAAAAAAAAAAAAATCTCATGCACTCGCTGTAATAGATTTAAGCAGGTTTATTGGACAACGCAATGTTTTGACCTGTACCCAGGTCTTTATCAAGTCCCTAATTATCACAGTGTCCCCTATGTATCACAGTGTCTCGGTGCCCCATGTCTCCCAGTGTCGCCTTGTGTCCCAAAGTCACCCAGTGTCCCCATTTCTCCATGTCTCCCAGTGTCCCCAAGAGTCTCGGTGTCCCCAGGTCTCCCAGTGTTCCCTAGTATCTCAGTGTCCCCATGTCTCCCAGTGTCCCAATGTCTCTGAATGTCCCCCTGTGTTCTAGTGACATGGGGACACAGACACTAAGGGACTGGGAGACATGGGTGCACAGACAAGCCCCCTTTTTGTGTATATTCGTCCCTTTCGGCAGTTCCTGTTATGTGATTTGTGTCAGTGGCCCACCCTTTTATCCCATCCATTGACTTCCTGCTTTACTGGACACTGCTTTTAGGGGGTATGGGTTTACTTGAAAGATGAAATCATGAAATTAGCATATGGTATGTATTTTCTCATAGCTGCATCCTATGAGTTTCCCTCCAGCACCATCTCCATCAGTTACATGATGCTTAGGAGGTAGGACTGTTTTAGTGTTTTTGGTCAATAAGACTTTGTAATTAGGCCCATCATAATTGTCAGCACCAGGCCCACTGTGCTCTTAATCTGGCCCTGGCTACAGATTAGATTAGTAATGCACACTTAGGGTAAGAAAGAACAAGGTGAAAACCTGTACTGGAATTTGACACAGAATTAAATTCCTTTGAGATGGTGTGCGTGCCCCACTCTGAGATCAGAAGGCCTCTCTCACCTATTTACTCACTACTTCAGCAGGATTTACATAACTCATCCCCATCCTTTACAAAACAATAGCAGGTAGCCAAACATGATCACCTAGCCCCTCGGAATTGGAATTTTATATACCAGAAAGTACTGACCACCTCTATTAGCCTCAACAGATGTGAGGCCTTTTATAAGATACTCTCTCTACAGAAGCTCAGTTCTATTGCAGACCTACTACCCTAATGTTAACAAGCTCTGCTGGAGATGTCAGTCCAGACCAGGTACCTTGGAGCATATTTGGTGGTTTTATGACTGTTATACATGACCTCCTCCAGCACATATTCAACTGTCAGCTAGAACTCAAACCATCCCAGACTATCTTGGGTTGGCCAATGGTTTCCAATGAACCTCGAACATTATTATATTATCTGTTAATGGTTAACATAGGTGTAAGCACTGCATATAGGGTCTGCATACTTACCTTGACAATTTTCTTGGCAAATATCTAGTTCACATTCACTCTTTCTAGCATCTATAATTTTATACATAATCCATTTGCTCTGCCAACCTGCAATCTGTTCACTCTCACACTTCATCTCTTGTTTGTACAATGTCTCCAAGACCTCGCCATTCTGGTGGAATGGTATTATATGCCTGGCTATACATTTTCCCTCTGTCTAGGTTAACAAAAAGTACATTGTATAAAAGAATCAGTTAATAAAGAATAATTTTTTTGTATTTATTTATTTTTTTGTATTCAAAGCAGCGGGACAGAGTGGAGTCATCTTGAGAGTATCTGGCCAGGGGCACCGTGAGAAAGATGAAGTGATGGTGGCGAATATTCTAGAGAAAAAGTTACAAGGCTGAAAGACGTGGAATAGAGGCAGATTGTATAAATGACAGGGGATCCGCGATTAACTGGTCTCAGATGCTACTCCATGAACCCGGTTGAGAGGTTGATCTTCTTTTTCATTGCATATTCACCCACAGGGCTACAAGTGCGGCAATAACGGTGACAAAGGACATCCTGGCAGGTACAGCCGAGTTACAAAGGTCAGAGTGGCAGCAGTAAGTTTTCACTTCATTAACAGAAAAATCACAGATTTGTTGAGGGACGCACATTTTGGCATGTACTAGGGGGAAAAATGATTACTATGATCATTATTTATAAACTGCCAACTTATTACACAACGTTTTACAATATTAAGGGAGACATTGATCTGAACGTAATTTACAAACAAAATAATACAGAAAGTAATGATATTTAACACAGATACATTGAAGCATCCATTAAGAGAGGTTTTTTTTTCTTTTACGTTACTGTCCCTTAAAACGTAGGACATGGCACTTAATTTCAATTCCTTAATTGTTTGGTTGTTGGCTATGCATTTGTATCTTTTTAACGTTTTGAAATGTATGTAACTTGCAGAGAAAGTAGAAAGTGGTTCATTTTTATTTAAAGTAGCATAAATAGCGCAGTAACTCAGGCTAAAATGTATAACCATCAATATTTTTATAATTAAATAATATTATTAATAAAAATAAAGCTATAAAAAGGTGGAGAGCTTATGTGCCAGAATTTTATTAGATGGGAAAAGACTAGACTCCAGCCCAAGGTTATATATTACGACTCATTCCACGTTCATTGAAATAATTCCCTACTGAAATCAGCCTTATACAATACCCTAAACCGTAACGTCTTGTAATCACATCGCGACAAAATTCAACATATTACATAAAGCTACATTTATAAATTCCATATCTGCTCCATTAACCCCCCCGGCATGTGTATAAGCCATGAAACCGTGCACCAATAGCAGGACCCCCACACTGTGCTGTATAAATAACTCTAAATATGGTGCATTAAAGGGGCGCTGTCCCAGATTATAAAACTGGAGGTGTTATTTCTCTCCCAGTCTTACATGGAGAACAGTGAATTGATGCCAAAATTAAACCCAGGGCTTCATCCCCTATCAGTACCTCCACTAACGCACCAATCAAGTGTATAGGGAATATGCACAAAAAAGGGATGTGATTATTTATGGCCCCTAGCCAATTACTGTATACAGTCCTGTGTCTGACTCTGTGTAGATTACAGCGTGCAAATCCCTAATTTGTTTTGCAAACTGAAGCCAGGATATTACATCAAGATAATTGGTGCATATTTCCGAAAAACAGTCCTTCTTAATACATTTAGGCAACTCAATTAAATGCCTTCCTGGATCGTATTAGATGTTTTATCTGCTATTTTGAACTTTTACAGATTTTACTGACGTGATATTGGCCTACAGATAATACATGCTAAGGTTATCTAGAGAGGGCAGCTTTAAGATAGTTCAGTTGGTTAACACACCAGTTGATATAGTTGCTCAATCTCCATTAGATGCTCACTCTGTACAAGGAATCTCACCTTGTCTAAGGAAAGCCAAGTCTAGGCCAGAAATGTTTTGTTGAACAATTACCTTCCAGAATAGAAAGAGAAAATACTACGCAATCCAAAGTTAAAAATGCATTACATAGATAAAGTAAAATAAAGTACTATTTTTTTTCTTTTTTCATAGGTCCATAGCAGACATAAGGCCCGGATCCTGGCTTACTCACATCAGTTTTCCACACTTAATAAAACAATAGATAATAATGGGATTAATAGAAGCAGCTATTGATAAAGCTTCATTAGAATGTTTTCGAATTCCGCTGTGCTACATGTTAATACAGTCAGCATGGGACAGAAACTGGTACAACAACTGAGATATCACATAACGGAAAAGAGACCACCATTTCTAAAGTGCCCCCGCGGATTGATGGGCAAACATACATGGGCAATTCCTGAATCACTTAGTGTTACGACATTGCTACTTACCACCATTTCTAACAGTTTTCCCGCAGGCCTGTCCAGCGATGCATGTGGTTATTGTGCATTTATCTTCAACACATGCATAACATCTCAAAGAATTACCTGGAAGAGGGAACAGCCATAATTCATAGGGAGAAGGGAAATACCCACTACCCCCACCCACAGCACTATATCATGTATGCACAGCTCCCAAACCCCCTAATACACTGCTATGCCATGTGTATACACCACCCCAAATCCTCCCCATCACACACACTGATATACCATGTATACAGAGCACAGCCAGCCTCCCCATCACACACACTGCTATACCATGTATACACAGCACAGCCAGCCTCCCCATCACACACACTGCTATATCATGTATACACAGCACAGCCAGCCTCCCCATCACACACACTGCTATATCATGTATACACAGCACAGACAGCCTCCCCATCACACACACTGCTATACCATGTATACACAGCACAGCCAGCCTCCCCATCACACACTGCTATACCATGTATACACAGTACAGCCAGCCTCCCCATCACACACTGCTATACCATGTATACACAGTACAGCCAGCCTCCCCATCACACACTGCTATACCATGTATACACAGCACAGCCAGCCTCCCCATCACACACACTGCTATACCATGTATACACAGCACAGCCAGCCTCCCATTCACACACACTGCTATACCATGTATACACAGCACAGCCAGCCTCCCCATCACATACACTGCTATAACTGCTATACCATGTATACACAGCACAGCCAGCCTCCCCATCACACACTGCTATACCATGTATACACAGCACAGCCAGCCTCCCCATCACACACTGCTATACCATGTATACACAGCACAGCCAGCCTCCCCATCACACACTGCTATACCATGTATACACAGCACAGCCAGCCTCCCCATCACACACTCTGCTATACCATGTATACACAGCACAGCCAGCCTCCCCATCACACACTGCTATACCATGTATACACAGCACAGCCAGCCTCCCCATCACACACACTGCTATACCATGTATACACAGCACAGCCAGCCTCCCCATCACACACACTATACCATGTATTCACAGCACAGCCAGCCACCCCATCACACGCTGCTATACCATGTATACACAGCACAGCCAGCCTCCCATTCACACACACTGCTATACCATGTATACACAGCACAGCCAGCCTCCCCATCACATACACTGCTATAACTGCTATACCATGTATACACAGCACAGCCAGCCTCCCCATCACACACTGCTATACCATGTATACACAGCACAGCCAGCCACCCCATCACACACACTGCTATACCATGTATACACAGCACAGCCAGCCTCCCCATCACACACTGCTATACCATGTATACACAGCACAGCCAGCCTCCCCATCACACACATACCATGTATACTATCACCACACTGCTATACCATGTATACACAGCACAGCCACCCTCCCCATCACACACACAGCACAGCCAGCCTCCCCATCACACACTGCTATACCATGTATACACACGCACAGCCAGCCTCCCCATCACACACACTGCTATACCATGTATACACAGCACAGCCAGCCTCCCCATCACACACACTGCTATACCATGTATACACACAGCCAGCCTCCCCATCACACACTACTATACCATGTATACACGGCACAGCCAGCCTCCCCATCACACACACACTGCTATACCATGCCACGGCACAGCCAGCCTCCCCATCACACACTGCTATACCATGTATACACAGCACAGCCAGCCTCCCCATCACACACACTGCTATACCATGTATACACAGCCCAGCCTCCCCATCACACACTGCTATACCATGTATACACAGCACAGCCAGCCTCCCCATAACACACACTGCTATACCATGTATACACAGCACAGCCAGCCTCCCCATCACACACACTGCTATACCATGTGTACACAGCACAGCCAGCCTCCCCATCACACACACTGCTATACCATGTATACACAGCACAGCCAGCCACCCCATCACACACACTGCTATACCATGTATACACAGCACAGCCAGCCTCCCCATCACACACAGCTATACCATGTATACACAGCACAGCCAGCCTCCCCATCACACACTGCTATACCATGTATACACAGCACAGCCAGCCAGCCTCCCCATCACACACACTGCTATACCATGTATACACAGCACAGCCAGCCACCCCATCACACACACTGCTATACCATGTGTACACAGCACAGCCAGCCTCCAGCACCGAGTGTTCTAGAACTTTGGTGAATCAATATATTCTTACAAATACCTTTTTGGGTAACGTACTGATCACAGGAAGATTTCTTACCAATCTGGCAGCTCAATAAGATGAAAAAAATGTTTGTAATGAAACCGTTCATCTTCTTGTGTGTGCGTCTGTCTTTTCAGATGTTATTAGTTGGAAAATGTTTTCCCAGCCTGTGTACACCAAGCTGTTCTCAATCTGATGAGCCCACTCCCACTTGTCACAACCACTGCTTATCATCAAGTCCATGAACATACTCCACAACTCAGGTCCAAAACCCCATGGCAATAATAAACAACTGCAGTGCTCCTGCCAGCTTTATTAACTCTTCACCAATAGAGTCACCTATACACGTCTTAACTTAAATTTACTTGTAAAACAAACTTTAGTTTATGAAACCTTAGCTGCATGTGATCTCCAGCGATGATTGGCAGATGGTACTCGAAGAAATTTCGCTAAATTGTATCTTTACTTTCGTATGACATTTCAGAAACTGTGAAATAAGATATGGGATACTCTATGCTGTCTATTAATTTTCATACCCCATTTTTATATAAAGGATAAATGAATAGATAAAAAATTTAAATTGTGTTAACTTCTGTGATCATTTTCTATTTATTTTATTTCCTGTTACACTGTTACCTTATAACAGTACTTCAATATTATTGTAACTGCAAAAAGCCATAAAGGCACATCATGCTCATGTCTTTAAAAACGAAAGAAAAAAACAACGAAATAAAGCGTTTAACCCCTTCAGGACGGAGTCAATAGTACACGTTCTGATCAAAACAAAACGTAAACAAAAACTGGAATTTGCGCTATATGTCTGTTCAACCGTAATTCACCGCTGTCACATTAAGTGCACCCACACTTATTATATATCATTTTGTTCAGGAGAAACAGGGCTTTAATTTATCATCAACTATTCATATATGGAACATAATTTATTATGAATAAAATTTAAAAAATGTGAGAAAATAAGATTTTTTAAAACACAGTACCTCCAGGGGCTGCAAGCCGTTACAACGTTCTATGCCGCCACAACGGCTTTAAAGCCATTTAAATGCGGGATGGCATAGAACGCTGTAGCGGCGTTAAAGGGTTAAATATAAAATAAAAAATTGTGTAAGCACACAGAGTTCTGACACAATAAAATGAAGTTTTATCGTACATATAAGTGCTAACTATGATTCCCATATTTCAAATAAAGGTTATGCCAATATTGCTGCAAACAAAAAGATCTTGGTTAGAACGAGGTTAAGATTTCTAATGGGTCTCTGGATTTTACATAGTTGAATAAAACAACTCAGTTGGGTTAGCTCTCTGAATTTAAATATTATTAACCTGGCAAAATCTATGTTAGATCAGGTACACTTACAGATTTATTTTTTGTGTTTTAGGCATATTTTTAAAGCTAAATTAAGCAAGTATGGGGAGATATTAGCATTTGACACGTTATGAGAAGCAAGTTTTAGTGTAGTGTTAGTGTTTGAATGCAGGGATGCATATACATATACAACTGCCATACACGTACTAACACATATACATACACATGCACGCACTGACAAACACATAGATACCGACACAAGTCATAATTTACTCATTTTTAGCCACCCTCCTGTTTCCATACCTTTTAGGTGCAGTAGTGTGACTTCCCTGGATTCCAGTAGGATCGCGCTGCAGGAGGTTCTGGCTGGGGCTTATGGGAGTCTGTGGTTGACCTGGCTTTCCCGGCTCTCTCCTCTTTTCTTTAGTGGCTCGTGTTCAGTCACCCTCCCGAGACAGTGCACCGCAGCCAAACTGTCAGTCTGACAGGTCTCCAATTGCACTGTTAAAGGGCCAAACACATGGCTCACCCAATGGCCACACCCCAGCTTACTGGCCCCTTTGGCTGCACCGCCAGCACAGGACCCCTCTGTAATATGTGATTCACCCATGGCCGGTCGCAATCACACTTGAGGGAGCTGCAAGTATTCGGGGAAAGCGACAATGTTTTCTCTAACCGGGACTTTCAACCAGATGCTCTGGAACTATTTTGGGCTTCATCCATGTGTGCGGTCGGTCAAAACTTTATCCTGGTGGCGATTGAACAATTCCATATGGATGGCGCTATTTGGCCTACTTAGAGGCTTGGACAAGAGCTATCTAGGGATGCATGACATGTGGGGGGTTTCAACTGTATTATGTGTGTTTTGGAGTGTTTTGTGTTTTACAATTATGTTAGACACTCTGTATCCGGGAGATAATTAGTTTAGCGATCAGCAACTCAATTATCTCCCAAACACAGAGGTGTCGGGGTGGGCTTATGTTTCTACGAATGGAGACCCCATGCTGGTGTCTGTGTATATAAACCTGTGGTTCGGACAATAAAGAAGTCATTGTTTTAACCCACACTAAGTGTCGTATAGTGCTTGGGGAGAAGGCTGAAATTATAGCACCTTTGGAGAAAAGGTGATTAGAGCTATTAAACTGCTCTATCCAGGAAGGAAAAACTCCAGGAGTACTGCAGTCAATCCACGGCGACTGGGGCAGAAGCGCTTTATGTTTCCCGATCCTGGCAAGGTACCAAGCTGGGGTACAGGCAGCTCCGCTACACTTCCATTATTGCATAGTGTGTTTAATCTAGAATTTCTTATCTCCTGCTCTGTTACATAGGAAAGCACTGAAAATGCATTTCAATGCTTTCCTATGGGGAAATGAGCGACGCCTTTCCTGGGGAAATGAGCGACGTAGACAACCACTAGAGGTGGAGTTAACCCTGCAAGGTAATTGTTGCAGTTTTTAAAAAGCTGCAATAATTCCACTTGCAGGGTTAAGAGTAGTAGGGCAGAAGTGGTCTGGGCGCCTGGAGTGTCTGTAGAGGAGCTGCAATATTAAATTCCACGATCTCCGCTGGTACAGAAGGTAATCCAAAGTAACAGAGTCTCTTACTGTGAGAAGGAAGAATTAACTAAAGCAGCGCTTTGAAAATGCAAACTCAATTTCAAATTTAAGGTCAAAATAGCCAAGCTGGATAAAATCTCTGAATCAGCGATGCTCTCAGTTCTACTACTTTGGCCTTAAATTTAAAATTTACTTTGAATTCACCCAGAATTCTCACTTTAGTAAATCATTTTGCTGGTGTCTCTGTAAAGCAATGTTATTCACACATAAACAGTTATTTTAGTCATTGGCAGTTTATTTGTAAATATTTTATAGTGTTAGGAAAAGGCATGAGAAATGTAAACACTCGTCTTGCTAAAACGTTTCATCTGGTCTGTTTAAAGAGTCCAACAATAATGAACATGTTTATTTAATTTCTGGTTGCTGGGGTGAAGAACAAGATAAAACAAATATAAAAATGATATCCCTAAATGGAAAACCATGATAATGGATGGTTGAATACAGAGCAGTCAGCACTATTATAGGGAAAGATTCAACAAGGTTAAAAAACAAACAAACATTTAAGACGTTAAACCAATGTGGCTAAAATATAGATCTCTGGCTGTTGTAGAAAAGCAACTCCCTTATGGCTGGCTTAGAATCATGATAGTTATAGTTCTACACTGGGGATCTAACAATTGGCTATCTCACTTGACGAAAATCTACAGCCCACATTGTCGTTACTTCCACGTTCTACGGATGACCTTCCCACAAAATGTCTAATTTGACTTGTAGAAAAGATGCCTTTGGGGGCGTGGTCTTACAGTTGACCTGAATGGCCACTTGAACTGAGAGCTTCCACTCATCCACTGCAATAAAGCATCTGCCAAAGGCATTGCCTCCTGCTTTATGCACAGAAAAAAAATGCAATCAGCGCACAATGACCTCCAGAGCAAAACTGGCCCAAAAGAAAAAAAAGAGGTGACGGCAGAGACACTAACCTTTCTGAAGCAGACTTATTCGCAGCCATGCTCACCCCACAGGCCACACAAGATGGCCACCGTCAAAGCCTGCGCGGCTCCATCTGCCTAACATCAATTGCTGACAGTGAGCCACCAGACTTCCAAATGAGAGACGGCTCACACATACTAACCAAACTGCTAGAGGTTCGGAATTACCTAGCGATGGAAATTGCCAAAAGATCACAAGAGCTGAAGGCTGAAATACAAACCCTGGGCCGGTGCACTTCCAACCTAGAGAATAGGGTGGAAGAGTTAGTGGAGGCCCACAAGGAGGTCCTCACCCACTCACAGGCCACTGCACAGCGAGTCACTGACCTGGAAATGATAGTAGAAGACCTGGCTAATAGGTCCAGACGCAACAACATACGAGTGCGGGGACTACCAAAATCTCCCAATGAAGGCTCCCTGGTGGAGAAGATGGGTCACTATTTCCAGCACTTACTACCAGAAATACCCAACAACAAGTGGGTCATTGATCGAGCACACAGGGCACTATGCGCCCAAATTGCAGAAGGAACTGTACGGCGAGATATCATAATACGGTTTAATCTATTCCACCAAAAAGGCAATAATGAAATATGGCAGAGAGAACAAGCTGAACTATCAGGGTGCCCACTCTCTCTTCCAGGACCTGTCCCCAATGACTCTACCTGTCTCGGATCTTCTGCGACAACATAACATTCGCTACACATGGGGACACCCTTTTAAACTAGTAGCCTTCAAGGTCTGAAAGACTTTCACACTACTGCCAGGAACAGACCTGCGCCCATTCCTCACCAGCCTCTGAATCACCCCAGCACCAGACTTTGCTTTGCCAAGGGCACACGGTCCCTCCCTCACCACCCTCCCACGAGATTGGTACAGAGCCGGAGAGACACCACAACGCTGAAGGAGTGAAAGGCAACATATATCCAGTCCGAAGAATCATCTTTCAAGTATATTGATAAGCCTGTTTCTGCGACAGGAGAACACTCCCTATCACTGTTGCCAATACTTTGCATGCCCAATAGTTACTAGGGTATACTTACTACTTAAGAGTGGTACGGGGGGACCCCAAACATAGGCCTCAGGCCACACGGCACCCCACTTTTGTATATACCAGGTCCCCCTGGGATCACATACCAGGGAGTACCGAGGTTGAGGCGGAGAGAGCCACCTGCAATCATGCTAGGGAAGGGGGGAATATTGATAGGGTTTACCAGCCTGTGTAACACAGAGGGCTCATGGCAGGGGACCAGTTGGCCTCACACTACAGGAGATGGGCGAAAGGCAGCCAGACTCAGGATACCCCTTTAACACTGCATATAATTTACCCCGCACTGGTACTTTCACCACATGGGGCAGGGAAAGCTACTTTTACTAAACTAACAGTCGGAGTCCTAGTCACGATGAGAAAGTTCTCCTCCTCCCCAATTGTCGCCATACAAGGGGAGACCCCACCGGGTACAAGCCACTACCCCCGCTCTTAAGGGTGCCGGAATCACAGGGGGCGCAAGGCGG